TGGTGTAGCTTCTATATTTGTTACAATGTTTTAAGCTGCAAGCTCAGAGGCCGGCAGGGCAGGCGGGTAACATTGGAGCCCTCCGTCACTGAAGCAAGCAAGCCCCATGTTAGCTTGAAGCCGCCTGGCTGCCGGCCGCCATCTTAGCTGGCAGTTAATTTGCATATCGCCCTGATTAGCCCATGGGAAGTGTAGCGGTCGTATGCTCATTACCATGTTTCTCTTTTATTAGATAGGATATATTTTTATTGATTTCAGAGAGGAAGGTAGAGGAAGAGAGATAGAAACATCAATGATGAGAGAGAATCACTGATCAACTATCTCCTGCACATCCCCTACTGGGATGGAGACCACAACCCTGGCATGTACCCTGACCAGGAATTGAACCGTGACCTCCTAGTTCATAGGTCAATGCTCAACCACTGAGCCATGTTGGCCAGGCTCAGCCAATGCTTTTAGCCAATATTTTCACTCCTTGACAATTACAATACAGTAAAGTATCTTTTTTTAAAAACATTTTTTAAAATATATTTTGATTTTTTTACAGAGAGGAAGGGAGAGAGAGAGAGAGTTAGAAACATTGATGAGAGAAAAACATCGATCAGCTGCCTCCTGCACACCCCCTACTGGGGATGTGCCTGCAACCAAGGTACATGCCCTGGCCAGAATTGAACCTGGGACCTTTCAGTCCACAGGCCAATGCTCTATCCACTGAGCCAAATCGGCTAGGGCAGTATCTTTTTTAAGCTAATAAATTAACCACTTCATATCTAGTGGGAACCACAAAAAAAGGTATTAATATGCTAATTACTACTCTGTATCTAGATGCTTCACTACATATAGATTAATCTTATGATAGTAGTTACCAATGAATAATCTCATGTAGCTTCATCCCTTCAAGAAAGATTTGCACACCTTTGACTAATGCTGTCAAAATGTCCTAAAAGGAACAAAAAACAATGGGTTAATAGTGATGGGATTTAAACATTCAGAAAAAGAGTTATGGAGTCAATCTTGAAAGAATTAAACTAAGTGTCCTACAGACTCTTATTTCTGGGTTGTGTGACAACCTTGAAGAACTTTAGACTTTCAGATCAAATGCCTGCTTCCCAAGCAGCTGTTCTAAATCCAATATCTCTATCATCTACAGCAGCAGTCACTTCCCCCTTCAGGTCTGAATTTATCCATTTCACCTGAGAGCTGAAGTCAATGAAAGGTAGAAGTGAGGCCGAAACCGGTTTGGCTCAGTGAATAGAGCGTCGGCCTGCGGACTGAAAGGTCTCAGGGTCGATTCCGGTCAAGGGCATGTACCTGGGTTGTGGGCACTTCCCCAGTGGGGGATGTGCAGGAGGCAGCTGATCGATGTTTCTCTCTCATCGATGTTTCTAACTCTCTATCTCTCTTCCTCTCTGTAAAAAATCAATAAAATATATTAAAAAAAAAAAAAGAAAGGTAGAAGTGAGGAGGAACCAGGAAGGCAGACAGAGGTGATTGGCAAGCACCAATTTATGAAACAGTGAGTCCAATAATTACATCACCAAAAAAAGGTACAGTAGTCCCTCCTTATCCACAGGGACTATGTTCAAACACCTCTAGTGGATGCCTGAAACCGTAGATAGTGCTGAATCCTATATGTACTATGTTTGTTGAATTTATAAATTAGGCACAGGAAGAAATGAGCAACAATCCTATATAATAAAAGGCTAATGTGCAAATTGACCGAACGGTGGAATGACCAGTTGCTATGATGTGCACTGACCACCAGGGGGCAGATGCTCAATGCAGGAATTCCTCCTGGTGGTCAGTGTGCTCCCACAGGGGGAGCGCCGCTCAGCCACTGGCAAGCACAGTGGAAGTGGCAGGAGCCTCTCCCGCCTCCACAGCAGCATTAAGGACCCCTTGGAGGATGTCCACCTGCCAGCTTAGGCCCACTCCCCATAAGCCGGCAGGTGGACATCCCCCGAGGGGTCCCAGACTGCTAGAGGATGCAGGCCTGACTGAGGGATCCCTCCCCGCCAAAGGACCCCCCCGCCCCCCAGTGCACGAATGTTGTGCATCAGGCCTCTAGTAACTAATAATAAAATAGAGTAATTATAACAGTATACTGTAATAAAAGTTATGTGAATGTGGCCACTCATTTCAGGGGACCCTTGCTGAAGGGATCATCTTCGTGTAGGCTCAGTGCTTTCTGGTGTAACATGTTGCCTTCATTTGAAACACGTTTTCTGTTCATGTCTCCCGCCCTCAAACTTAGTGCCTTTTCCCTCTTAAGTTAGCCCTTACCATTCCCTGTGGCTGCAACCTTTGCCATTTGAGGTGCAACAGCAACACTAGCATGGGTTTTTCTTTTCTCTCCTTTTCTTTTTAATATATTTTTATTGATTTCAGAGAGGAAGGGAGAAGGAGAGAGATAGAAACATCAATGATTAGAGAGAATCATTGATTGGCTGCCTCCTGCACACCCACCACTGGGGATCGAGCCCACAGCCAGGCATGTGCCCTTGACCAGGATCGAACCCAGGACCCTTCAGTACTCAGGCCAACGCTTTATCCACCGAGCCAAACCAGCTAGGGCTAGCATGGGTTTTTTTCCTTCTTCACAGTTTCATGGGTAGAAGACTTGCTCTTACTGTAGATCTTAGCAGCTTCAGCATATGGTTTTTTTCTTTCTCTGTTAAGTCAAGAACTCTTGCCTTTTCACTTAAAGGAAGAACTTTATGGCTTCTCTTCTGCATATCCAGATTGCCAGCATCACCAATCTGCGCTTTGGGGCTGTTACTAAGTAAAATAAGGGTGACTTGGACACAAGCACTGCAATACCGTGACAGTCAATCTGATAAATGAGATGGCTACTGAGTGACTAACAGGCAGACAGCTGTACAGTGTGGACACACTGGACAAAGGGATGATTCATGTAAGGGTGGGGCAGAGCGGGGCAGCATGAGATTTCATCACACTGCTCAGAACAGTGCACAATTTAAAACTTACATAGTACTTATTTCTGGAATTTTCTACTTAATATTTTCAGACTATAAGGGTTTGAGAAGGCTTGTAAACTAGTGATATCTTTCCATGTCTCTTGAGTAAAGACTTATTTGTTTTTTTTAAATAAAAAAATTTAAAAACCGCACATGTCTGGCCAAAAAGGGTGTAAAGACTTTGTCACCTTCTAAAAATCATAAGTATTGAAAACAACATGATTTTCCATATGCAGGTTTTACACTTTTCTGAAGTAATTGGGCTCTCTTCAAGGAAGGTTTCCCACATACTTGGAAGGAACGCACATCTTGGAGCAAAAATTTTTCATTTAGGGACATTTAGATGGTAAAAAAGCGCACCCCCCCCCACACACACACAGATAGTGTAATAAATAGTTACTAGATTTTATACTATCATATAACAATATGTTTCACAAAAAAAGATTGGACATATAATAAAAAAAGAAAATACCGAGAACCAAAATGGCGGCATAGGTAAAAGCCTGTACTTGCTGCCTCCCACAACTACATCAAAACTACAACTAAAAGACAAAACGGATATCATCCAGAACCACAGGAGGCTGGCTGAGTGGAAGTTTGACAACTAGAGGTAAAGAGAAAAGCGCATTGAAACCGGTAGGAGGTACAGAGGTGTGGAAGTACGGAGGCGTGCGAAACGGGCTGGAAACTGGGTACGCTGTGGTCTTTTTCAATTGAGAGGGAGATACAAACTCCTGACTGCTCTGAACTCCAGTTTCAGGCAAGACTCTGGGGACCCAGACTCATACGGGGAGAAACTGGACTGTTTGGCATCGGGCAGGAACACAAGGGCAGCTTTCTCTCAGAGGTGCTCGCAGCGTTCATTGTTCCTGCAACGGACCGAGGGACACAGAGACCCAGGGATCTATCCGGGCAGGGCTGACGGGCAACCATTGCTGTTTGCAATGCTCTGCGATTCCCGGAGACCACACCCCACCCAATTTACAACCCCACCCAAGCTGTGCTCAGAGGCTTTTGCATATGAATGACCTGGCCTTTTGCAACCTAACCAAACAAACTGCAGCTGGGTCAAAGAACCCCAGAGCTTCCAAAAGAAGGCCTAAGGCTTGTCAGCAGCCTGCATTGCTTCACAGCTGCACCTCATCTGGGTACCTCCAAACCCCAAACAAAGAGGAGGAATCCACAGATCTCTCTGTAGCTCCTGCTGGGTGGCCTTAGGCAGTGGCTGACTTTGCACCTCCTTGGAGATCCAAGAGCCAGTGTACCCAGTGGTCAAAGTGGTACCACACCAGATTACAACTCTACAGGTTCATAAGAGACACACTCAGGGGGTAGACTCAGTG